AAGAAACATAGTCCTGTACATCCTGCTGTTGAATGGAGAATTACTTATAATCAATACGACAATAATCATATTAAACACAGTGGTTCTGACAGTATATACCAGTCCATAAGATTAATGATTTTATTACCAATATTCAGTTGGTTATTAGCAAGATAGATTCTAATGGCGTATTTTATGAAACTGACACTCAGTATTTTAAAAATTTATAATTTATACCGATTTTTTACGCACGTCGTTTGTTCCACTACCTCAAATATATACTTTAAACTGTATTCTTTGAAGTTCAGTAAATTCACACGACTACAATATCTATATAATTATTCGGTTCCAATAGAAGTACTTTGATCATTATTTTAATTAACTTCCCAATATTATTAGTGATTAAAGAGTACTATATTTATATTTATATTGTTTCGGCAATATTTTATTTTTTTACCTCTGTCAATTTTGTACATTAATGTACACATATATATCCCCGAATTAGGGAATATTGATGAATACGAATATAAAGCGATAAAAAAAGAGAACATTTGATTTTTTAAACAAGAACATCAGAAAAACAGATAACAAGTCAAAGAAAATTGTTCGATTTTGTCGTTTGCCTTTCTGATGTTTTAATAAAAAAAAATCAAATTTATCGCTTCATATTCATTTTGAAATATCCCCTAGCAGTAAATAGTATAATATAGCAGTATATAATATAGTATAATATTATATATATATATATATATTATTATTTATATCAAATATACATTTGTTATTGACATCAAATGTATATAGTACATAAATATATTTTTAATACACACAAATATATGATATAAATATTATTAAATATCAAAATATCTATACAGAAATATTCAATGTAAAAATAAGAAAAAATAGTTTCATAGTACGTTTATTTTTTTTTTAGAAAAAATAATATCAAACTTTGTTCTGTATAAATTTTACATTGTGTAAAACATTACTTAGAGTTCAGGAATTTCAAATCGATTGCCATTCAAATCGTAGACACGTTTCAAAGTTTCTACTACATTATTCATTTCTTCACATGGCATTGGCACCAACTCAAACAGTACTTCGATCATTTTTAACAAATCGTTAAGGATGTGTTTATCTGATATATTTCCTTCTGTCGCAATATCGACATATCTGTTAAATTTCCTTAACGTGTGATTAATTTTGTTCTGATCTTCCTTCTTCTTAACTAAATTCTAGAAAAAAAAAATAAATTACAAAAGTAGATAATAGTATAAGAATAATCTTCTAAAATACGTTTAATTACTAAATAACTTACTCTAAAAGATTTTAGATTATAGTATAATGGCCAGTCTTCTTCACATGCTGGACAATTACACTTAAAATAATACTGTTTCAAAAGTTCTTTTTGTCTCACAGCTTTTGGTGTAATAGCATAATGTTGAGTATAATTATCACATAACTTAGAAAGAAGAAAAAACTATTTGTTACTGACATTGCATTAATATAATAATATACTATTTATATATTACTTAAATATACCTGTTCACCTTCTTTTATAGGGTATATAGCATATATAATCATATATTTAGATCTTGAATGCCTTAAGATATTTGGATTACAACTGTGATTAATTAAACTGAAGAATGGCATAGCTGCAACACCACGTTCAACTGCTTCTAATCCATATTCTTCAGAAAACTGCAAATAATTATTTATATTAGTTTATGACAAAAAGAAAATTACAGAAATGATGAAAATTAAATTCATTAAGCATTGTATTTCTAGTAATTACATACACTATGAATATTACTAGGAATCAGCTGCTGATGTCTCAGAATAAGACCACCAACAAATGTAACATCAGCATTTTTTATTAACATAGATAAATCTTTGCTCAGTAGACTCCCAAACATGTTAGTACCTGTTGCTAAAAAATATAAAATAAAGCTTGCATCTAAAGATCTTCTAAAAAGATCTTGTACTGAACGTTTCTCAGTATTAGTCACAAGACCTAACAAACTCCTATATTTATCACTAAGAAAGGTTTCATCTTTAGAAAAACCTTTTGTGCGAGGATCTGAAAAAATTGTAAAATTAATACTCATATATTATCACCATAAAAATATATGTAGTTATTTACCATCACAATTATCAACTTCTTTTAACTCTTTTCGTAATTCTTGCATACTTGTAGCTTCCCTCACAGCTTGAATAGCGAGCCTTAAACTGAACAGATCTAATTTGACAAAATTCATCTTTAACATAGATGGAAATACTGCACATTCAACATCATGATATTTTTTCCAATCCATAGCCTTACATTCCTCCGAACAATACATAGCATATGTGCAGTATTCACAAGGTATATTAGCCCAAGATACCTCTAAACAATTTGAGCAATGCGTATGCACATTATCAGGCGTTAGTATCAATGAGTAAGGCTTTTCTACTGCAATTACTTCGCCAGGGCTTATTTTACGAGTAGCTACAATATGTCTACCATATTCTTCATTATACTTTATAATTACAGCATCAGAAGCACAAGGAACTTCACTATTATGAGCCAATATCTTAGGAAGCGGTGGTTGTTTTATAGTGTCTTGGTTCTTAAACTTTTGAGATACTAAGTTGTTTATAGAATTTAGTTTTCCATTTAATTTTTTTCGATTAATATCATCTATAGACATTTTTTCCAACCAATACTGTGCTTCTTTTATGGCATCTTCCATACATGGATATCTCAGTGCATTTAAACACTCGACTTTTCTTACATAAAGCTTAGCACGTAAATTATCTGGATACTTGAGTGCTAATGCTCTATCTATGTCTTGAATACATAATTCATATTTATGCAATTTCAGTAAAACAGCAGATCTGTTGGCATATGCCAAAGCAAGTTGTTCAGATGGATAAGGAGCATAAGCTATACTTTTTGTATACAACTTTAGTGCATCCACACACGTATGATTTTTTAATGATGTTGAAACAAATAATTTATTACCCTCTTCTCTTAATTTTTCAGATTCCTTTGCATTTTTTATATCACCAGAAGCTTGCGGAATTATATTATATTCTAACATAACATTGAGACTAAATATTATACGTTCTTCATCAGTACATAGTGCTTTGTATCTATTAATCATATCTTGATGTTTATTTGCAGCAATTATTTTTCTATTTAATGTATTTAATACTTTCTCCATTTTCTTTCTTTTTTATTATTTCTTCTTTTATTGTATAAATGTGTTCATATATATAACATATTATATAATGTATATTTATATAAATTCAAATATACAAATATACAAATTCAAAAATAACTATAGCTAATATTGAACGTCGAACGGCAAATACCCGTTATTGTCGTCGATTTATGTCCCTAAAAAATTACTTAAAATATTACGTATAAGATGTTTCTATAATAGTATAAAATAAAACAATATCACTGTTGCAATATCGTGCAACAACAAGTTACCTCTTACCTCACGAAATCTGTGCACATTTAATATAAAGATTATCGCGTAGTTTCACGACAAGTAACTGTGGATCCTAACCAACTCTCAAGTTGAATTCTAGGAAATCCCGAGTATAATATGAAGTATCAAGTTGATGTATTAAAATAAACATATTGCATTTCATTCAAAAGCTAAATGATAAATTAGTGCTGATCAACTAAGAACTAGGCAGAATTTCGGTCGGCACTACCAACAAGTTTAAAGGATAATTACAGTGACATTACAGTAGTTCGTATCAAAAGAATTAAATAATTTTATCAAGATACTCGTAACAATGCATTCTTTCAATCATTTTGTTCATCAGTTTGTTGAATATCATTAATATCAGTAATGAAGTAATTACGATACTTCGAGTTATTTCGAGTAGATGCTTAATAAGACATTCGGAACAATTTAGCAGTGGTTTGATTTATTTTTTTCATTGAATTATGTAATCGTAAAATATTACCCGATATAAATTACATAAAATGTATCTTTCTTTTTGTCATTCTCAGTTAGAGATGATATTTAATCTGATAATATCAAGCAACTTGCAACGATAAATGTTTCGGCATACGTGCAAGTTTCTTGCGAGTCAAGACAAAAAGTTATTACTTTATTACTTTATCTTCCTTATTTTATCGTTGAAAGTATAAATTCTACTTGGTCCAGTATGATAAGACAGTGATAAATCAACGATTAAGAAATAATTATATTTGGTTTTATACAAACGTAATCTGATAAATTATATATGTACGTAACTCATTAAAGGTATACGATAAAAATGAGAATACATGAAAAAGGTATAAAAAGTGTGCTTGGGTTGTACTATTTCCAAATTCAGAAGCAACATACAAATATCATAATGCAATTGACTAAAATATCGCTTGCACTATATTAAGCAATCCTACATACATAATTATAATCAAATTGAAGCGAAAGTACAGAGATGGAACATGTTCAAGCTCTCTTATGCAACAAATAAATTTGCTCGAGATACTGAAATGTTGGCATTGCTTCATTCTCACTGCCATTAAGTTAGTCGATACAGTTGAAGCAAATTCAAAAAAATTCACACTAATGTTCGTTGTTATTTATTCTCACGTTGTATAGTTGGACGATAAGTATTGTTTTAATGTTAATAGATCAAGACATTGGGAGTGAAATTCAAGCAAGTAAATACGATTTCGGCCAAGGCGCATTATCTGCTGTCTTCGTGATGCTAGGATTTTTTTTTTTCAAGAAGGTATCACTGATTACAATAATCCTTACATTCGGTTATCTGTCTCATTCATAGCATTACACTATATCAGTTTCCGTTCCGCGATCATGGGTTGCTGTAAGAGTATCGTTCCCGAGAGAAGATAGCTTCGTTGGAGTTACTAATTATTTTTCGTATCGTAAACGCCGGTATTAGAATTTCCTTCCCGTTTCCAGAAGGTAAGAAATCGCACGTACACGACCGTATGATTTATGAAAAAAGAAGAAAAAAGAGAAAAAACAGTGACATCGATAATCAATAACACGAAATGGAAACATACCGATTATAAAAAAGCTTTATGACGCCTCTGTTTTCCGTGCGACATATTTTTTTGTCATTCTTTTCTTCCGTTTTTTTGTTTCGACGAAAATATGTATTTAATAGTCTATGCAAGCTCGTCATAATTTTTTTTCTTTTTCTTTTTTTTTTTTTTTTTTT